TGGGCCAGCACAGCCTCTAGTCTTTTCTAGAGCAGGGCTTTTATAGCCCTTCAGCTCCTATAACTTCTCTCATTGCTCCAGTTAATCAATCAAGAATATATTCTCTGTGAGCACAGCCCATTCCTTTTCTTGTCACTAGTACTGAGGAGTCCCTCTGGGTTTCTCTCATTGTTTGCACCTGAGCCATTACACTTTAATTACATACAGAAGTTACAGTCAATCGCACAATTGCTGTATGGAGTAAACTTGCGAAATTATTTTAGAAGAGAAATTGGCTATTTTGACAGCATTGCTATTTTGACAGCCATTTAATTCTTCCATCCGTATACTGTTACAGTTTTGTGGTTTATTATAAGTTAGAGAGAAATAGAAGCAAATGATCACACATTTCTAAAGATAAAGATTTTAATGCTAAATTTACACCCTTATAAAAGTATCATCTGTGAGGACATTTCTCTGATGTGCATAAGGTATGACTGAACTAGGGGATTGCACTTTCACTGGGCAGTGCCATTTGAAAACAATGGCTGGCTTGACAAAGTGAATTGGTAGATCACTGTAAGCTTTTCTTGTAGGTCTAGAAATCACTACATTGAATACAAATATTTTTAGATGATAAAGTGGCTACAAAGATAAGCTAAAAGACTGTTTCCCAAATCTGGGAATGGTAACACTTGTATTTCTGTGAGTTGGGCATATTAACACATTTTGGGAGAGGACTAGAGTAATAAACTTTAGGGAGAAGGAAGGGTAGAAGGATGACAGATTAGGTAAGGAAGACATTTTAAGGCATAAATTCTTCATGGACAGGCATAAGAAGTAGATACCAGAAAGCCCTGGATGTGAGAATAGAAGGAAAATTAAAAGTCCTAGGTGTGGGAGGGAATGAAAGGAGATGAGAAAAGGAAGGGTAACTAGTAGATTGAGGACATGGCACTCACTACCTTTGTGCGGGTAATGGAAATCCTGTTATGAGATTTTTACGACGGACTGGTTGTGGCTGGAGCAGTAGGTGAGGTGCATGCTTTGAGAGAGCATTCAGAGCAGCTTGAAGTAGCCTGAGTTTGAGGGTCCAAGAGGCAAATTTAGGGGGATTGTAATGAAAAACAATTAGGGCCTTCTATAAGGGCCTTGGCAGTGCAGGTGGTGGATTCTGAACATGTATAGGAAATTCAGACAGAATTCTAGTAGTGGCGTCAGTGTGGGAGGATGGGGGCAATGCAGGTAATCGGGCATAAAACCTGAGGTGATAAGTTAGAGAAACATGGAACAGTGGAGTTACCATTTTGCTTGGACTAGTCTGTATGTTTCTGGTTATGTCCTCTGTTCCTTTTACGCAGTGCGATTTTAATGTGTGCTTGTTAAGCAGTGAAAATTAAGAAATAGGTAAGTAAAACTGGAACTCAAGTTCCTGTTCTGGTTCTTGCCCAGAATCATGCAGTAAATCAGTTTAAGTCATTCAAGTTCACAGTGCCTGTTTCTGTCTGTAAAATGGGGATAATATCTGGCTCACTACAGTGTTGTGAGAATTTTTTGTTTAATGTTTATTTGTTGCTTGGTAGACCCCTGTAACTGGTATTGACATCTCCTGATCATATCCCCAGTGGACAAGTTATTTATTACTCATTAGTGAACAGTGTTCCATGCATTCATATCCTCTAATAGGCTAGGGACAGACATTACACACAAACTGGTTTAAGTGATCAGAAACTGGTTTAAAACTGTAACAGAACAAACATGCATTACACATAAACCTGTTTGAAAATGGCTGAAACTGGTTTGAGATAAATCTGGTTGAATGTAGTATCAGACTTAACTGATTTGGGTCAAACTAGTTTATGCAATGTCTGTCCCAGACCCCTTGCTAGTTTAAGCTACATCAGACTCCCCCAGCATGCCGGCATGCTCTCTGGGCTGGGCGGGGCTCTCTGCTTCACAGCAGAGCTGGCCCCTCCCTCCCTGCTCCCTGGCTGCGGCTCTGGCAGAGACTGCAGGTACAGCAGAGTCTGCTGACTTGCCTGTGCCCCCCTCCCCACCATCTGCTGCTTCCCTTCCTCCTCTCTCCCACAGCACGGACTATAGCCAGCATTTTGGTATGCTAGCTGATGCTGTGTAAGGCAGATTGGACAGTGTCTGCTAAAGGCTTTTTGGAGCTAATCAACAGGTCATCTGGTAATGTCCCTCCATTCCTTCCTTTGGGAAAAGCTGTTTAAGAAGAGCTTGAACTAAGAGGCTTTGTTTTCTGATGGGGTGCTAAATGCTGATAACAGCTGATAAATGTTGTGGGGGAGGGGACCCCTTCCTAATCACAGCATCCTGCTGGGGCCTGGCCACATCCCCTCTCAGCTTAGCAATATGGAAGGGAAGGGAGGGCTACTCTAGCACCTCCTGGCTTCTAGCCTGAGCCACTACAGGCATGTGCTGGCATTTTTTCAGTCCAGAGGGGGATGTCTGTGCAGTTACAAAGTGATTTAGCCTAGCCAGATTAGACTAACCTGCAAAGATTGAATCAATTCAGGCTCAGGGTTTTGAATATCTGTCCATAGCCATAATGTGTAGTAACCTCAGTGAATTGAGGGGAAGAGGTTGGGAGTCTTTGAGCAGCTGTATTCACTTGCCCAGTATATCACTGATTCGGAAGCTGGACTTGACCAGTTACACTTATTTTTCTTTTGAAGATGAGCCTGCCAGTCCAGAGGAAAGCAATTTATCAATATCTTAATATTTTTAAAGCAGTCCACAGCACTTTTCTGTCCATCAGAATCTTTCTAGTTTTAGGTTTGGCCACTTCACACAGCACCCTGGGGCTACCTATCTGCTTCACATCATTAATTTGTGGATTTTCTCCTGAAAAAGACATTAAAAACCAAATAGAATTCCCCTGTAGGAGATCCTAACTCAGACCTAGAAATCTTTTCCCCGGTGTTTTAATCTTGTCTCATCAAAATCTGTCGTGAGAGTATCACTATCCGAGTCCACTTTAAAACCCCATTCTTGGAGGCTAAATAATCTTTCTGGGTATTGTTGATTTATATCATAATAGTGTGAGGAGATGCATTATTTGTAGCTTATTTTCATTTAATTATTTAACTGTATATGTAAAACTAATGAGAAATGATGTTTGGCCTACTGGTACTATACACAAATAACATTTTACACAGTCATGTGTGAATTTTGGGTTCAATAATGACTTCAGGCTCTTGTCCTCATGTGAAAAATATTGGATCTGTTAATCTTACTTCTACATCTACTGTCTGGCTGGTGGTGGAACCAAGCCATCTCAGTGTCCCTGCACTTCCTGCCAGAAGATACGACAACTGCTACCACTGGTAATATTGCACAATGGCTCCGTCCAGCCCTGGCAACAAGAAAGGGGGTTACCATGAAGACTGTCATCGCTTGGAGAGAAATGGTGGATTCAAAGCGTCTTACAACAACATGATTTAAAAACAGCAGGGTGTATGCGAAGGAAATAATGTTTGAAAGGTGGCATTATTTCTTAATGTTGTGCCCAAAGCATTTTTATCATACAAATGTAAACCATGACAGCCAGTGCCATTTTCTTGTTTAGTAGTTATCATTAAAGATTTCAAATGTTTAAACTTATGAAAACCTTTAATTCTGTATGTGTAGGCAGTAGAACTAGTTGGAACATAGAAACTTGATTTTGTTGGGAAACAGAGGGATAGGAATCAAGACTTTGAAATTGCTTCAATTTGGAAATGTTTGAAATGGAGCCATTTTAACTTTTTCATGAATTGCCTTCAATATTTTTTCCTGATTTATTTATTTTTTTTTTATGAGAACATTGTCAAAATGTTTGTTGATTTTTTTTCAGTGATTGAACAAGTTTTTTCAGTATACCAGCCATGTCGATAGCAATTTGATATTTTCAAAATGAATATAGTGATAATCAAAAAAACAGGCAAACATTTCTCTTCAAAATGGAACATTTCATTAACATTGATGATTTTTGGTGAAAAACTTGTTTTATGCAAAAAATCCATTTTTCAGTGAGGCAAAGAAAAAGGAAAAAGTTTTCCTAGCTTAATGGTTAGCTTGGAGAGCAATGATTAAATGTTCTCAGGAAAGCTGCAAAGAATGAGTTTGAATCCTGCTCCAAACTTGTGATGAAGGCTGCTTCCAGTTGAACCAGTTGTAAAAGGACTCCTGGTCATTTGGGAAGTTCCCTTGGCTACATAGAAACTTATGTATCTTTACTATGCTAGGCTAATGGGATGCTGCCTGAACATGTTGGTGATATCCTGACCCCATGGAAATTTATAGCAAAACGTCTGTTGACTCTAGTGAGGCCTGACATTTTCCCTTTACTTGCTTTGGGTTATTTGTTTGTTTGTTTTAGGAGAATGGTATTTTTTTTACTTTGTATATATATGTTGCATGGTGCCACAAGTGACCCTAGGTGTGCTGTGTTATAAATATTATAATTATGTTCATCCAAAGAGGTATTGCTTTGAAACTTTCCCCACAGACTTTCTGAGTTCTGCTGAGTTCTCAAACTTCTCGTGCATAGTGAGCCCAGTTTAGCACCAAGTAATTAATTGTTCTTAAAAAAATAAAAATGTGTCCCTTTATGTCCAGGGTTTTTTTTTTTTTTGGGGGGGGGGGGGGTTGGTTCTTTTTTTTTAAGTTGGGGTGGCGGGGCATAACTCTGACTATATGTGTTTCAATGTCATCATTTAAAGAAAGGGAGAGGAGAACTGATGTGAACTTGGTTAATGGTGAGTGGTTATACACCTGTAGTTCCATCTGTGCACAACCATTCTCTTTTATTGGTAACTGAATTAGTGATAGTACTTTATATAAAAGGGAAGAAAAATATGTAAAAAATTATACTGGCATTTTTATTGTGGTTTCAAACCACTATTTTTTTCTTAGTGCCTTTTATATCAGCTGGCTTAGTTATCATTTACTGCCATTGTCCAATAGCTGGGCCAAGACTACATCTTCTGTTTTTGCATCTTGTATTCCAACAACAGGTGTCTGCAGATTCTAGCTCCTCCATGAACTCCAACACACCTCTAGTAAGAATAACCACTCGCCTCTCCTCAACGGCAGATGCCCCAATGCTGGCAGGCGTCTCTGAGTATGAACTGCCAGAAGACCCCAAATGGGAATTTCCCAGAGATAAGTAAGTACATTTGCTTCCGCTATTACCATTGAAATATATTGGAGAGTCATGTAAATCCCCTGAGGAGGCTTTCTTTCCAACTTCCACAAGGATTATTTTTGCTGTATGCTTTTTTCCTAATACAAACAAATGAAAACACCAGGTACCTGAATCCTTGCTAAACATCAGATGCAGTTCTTTGAAATCAAAGTTAGTATGGACACCAAATTTTATGTGTAGAATAAGTTCAAAAATTTCAGATGTCCTGGAGGGACATTTGGATGTTTGGAATTCACCTGTAGAAAGTTTTAGTAAACTCCTGTAGCAAACTGGTTAGTCGTTAAGAAGCAGATTTTAATTTTGAATTAATAGTGTATATACAACATGGATCATCAATGGGTATTATCATATTATCAATAGTTAAAGCAATCAGACCCACACAATTTATCCATGAAATATTCCTAATCATCAGTGATGACTATCAAAGACCTTTTTCTTAATATAGTAATGTAGAGGTATCTTTTTGGTTTAAAACTGTTACAAAGCATAATTAAATGTGATATATTCAGATTTATCTGTCAAAATCTATTCAGTTGAAATTAGGTTTAGTGTATATAAGAAGGGGACGGGAGGAGAGGGGTGTAGCAGCAGTCCAGTTAAGGTCTCTCCATACTTTCCCAAGTGTCAATTCCAGGTCCTGTCTTGTGCCAAGATCACTCCCAGTCATCCCAGCTATAAATGGACAGGTTATTTAGGGAAGGTTGTTCAAGGGAGTCTATGGCCAGACATGAGGGGACCTACATTACTTTCTCATGTTCTGATGTATCCAGTCCAGCTGCTGTTGGCTACAGAAACCAACATACCTTAATAATACTAGCATTATAGGCTGTGAGGCTCAGGACATTTTGTTGAGCAAGATGAGTAGGAGCATAATTTAAACTATAAACATCATCCTGAATATAAAATGTACACATGTAAGAGATAATATTAATACAAGCATATTGTAATTGTGTAATTGTGTAATTTAAGCATATATTAGAGTTAATATTAATTTTAAAAAAATATTGGAGGAAATGACCTAATTTAACTATGAACAGCTTTCTCTGAAAGCTCAGTATTATGAACTTAGATGGAAGAGCTGTAATCGCATACATTTTGACAACCGTTATGGAAATTATTTAATTTTGTAGCTGAAAACCAGTGCAATACACTGTAATTGCCACCTGCAATATTCTAGTCAACAGTGAGGGCCAGTATACATAATTTTGTCAGCCCTCACCCTTGGGGGAATACACTACATGCGGAAAATGTTAGTGTGCTAAACATTTAAAAACAGCATTGAGCACAAATGTAGGTGGAGCGGGTTTCCAATGAAAGGAGGCTATTTAGAGGCAGTTTATTAGGTTGCGGGGAGCAGGCACACAATGAAAGGATTGTTACACTCGTGCTAGCAGTGCAAGAACACATAAATTAACCATTTTCCAATGCAAATGTTTGGTCTCTGCCAAGATCTTAAATTCAATTTAAATTCTGGATAAATTGCAGAATGACCTCAGCGTAGCATACGCTGCCCTTCGGTCTTTGCACCTTTTCAAACTGGTATGCGCTTTAAAAACAGGCACACAGTGTGCTGTTGCATTTTTGACAGTATTAAGGCAATATTTTTAAAGGGTCTCTGAAATTCCCCAGCAAAAATTCTTTCTATTATTAGCTGTGTTATATCCAAGGAGACAGGTGGGTTTTTCATACGATTTAGCGTTGGTCTTATCTCCCCCTCTTGATGCGAATATTAAAACCCTCTTTTACCTCCGTTGGGAGTAGATGTAAACCTATGATCAAAGCTTTGCTCCCTATGTCTGTTCATATTAAGTGGTTGCAGCTCCCCGTCCTTGTGAGCTTTTTTGGTAAGTTACTTCTTTCTCAGTCTAGATTGTAATCTCTTTAAGTGAGCAACAGCAATGAACTCCTGGAGTGGTTTCCTTGACTGCTTCAGCAGAACCATCTGTTAAGGAATATGTTGTTCCACCTGAGTAAAGGCATCAGAATCTGGCCTTAAGCTATTTGGCCAGAATTTGGCTATTTATTATTTGTCAAGGCTGATCACTACCTTCCTGGGCATTGTTTGATTATACATGGGACCCATTTTTTTTTTCAGATCTCATTGTTTTGAAATCTTTTTATTTATTTGTCAGATTTGAGATTTCAGACTGCTTGTTAGTGGGCTTTGCTACCAGATAAATCTTGGCCAGGCTTCATTTTGCCCACGTTGGTAAAATAGGTACCGATTGTTCTTACCGTGATAGCTCAGCTAGAATCAGACTTCATGTTCCCAATTCCTGCTCCCCATTAAGCCAGGATCTGGGGCTGTCCTCTGTGTCTCATGACATCTGGGACCACAAAAAGCATACAGCAAAGAAATAGTGTCCCGGTAGCCTCTATACTAGGTAAAGGTAACACTCAATTTCTTCCCATGCAGGATCAAGATATCGGTTGTCACATCCTCACTCTCCTCTTCGCTAGTTGTTTGATTGTCATTGTCATATTCCTGTAATCTCACCTTCTCCCATGATTTTCCTTCTTTTTTTCACAAGGAGAAGGTTGTCTGACTGCCCTGATATCCACAAGTGGGAGAAATGTGGGTTATACTTACCTCGCACTGTCCACTGGATCATTGTGTCTGTCCTATCTATTGCCTTCAGCTGAAGAAGTCATTGGAAAGAGACCCCTTATCCCTGCCTTGAACAGGAAATGGAGAGCAAATTTTGATTTAGAATTAAATTATTTGAAAAATATGTTAATGTCTAGATTATGGCTGTATATCACATGAACCACCTGAAATGGTTCTGCAGGTGCTGGTATCATCCTGATACACACAGATTGTGCCATTTACAAATTAAGAAGCTGAACTGAAACCACACACACGCATGCAAATAAACCCCTCCTCATCACCCAGTGCTCTGGCTAGAAAAGAAAATAACTGTATTATAGCGATGTGAAAAGTTCTGTTGTTGTTTGGTTGCATCATTTTTTTTAGGAAATTGCACTCGGTATTGTGAGCCCTGCACATCTGCCCAAATGTGGTCTCTGTTATTACAAGTAAAAATGGAGTTTAAAAACTGTGTTTAGTTAACTGTTCTGCCTGTGTTAGCCTCTCGCTGTACTGTCACTACACAAACATACTAGAGTGCGCATGAAAACTAGTCTGCACAAGAGTTTCATTAGTTCCATGTGATAAATGCTTCATGCTACAGCAAGTTGTTGAAAGCTTTTTATACGGAGCTCTGGAATTTCACTGGTTCCATCCCTTTACCAGATGCTGTGTGCTAATCCCCTGTTTACACCTCTAGGCTGACGCTAGGTAAACCCCTTGGGGAAGGTTGCTTTGGGCAAGTTGTCATGGCAGAAGCGGTGGGAATCGATAAAGACAGGCCGAAAGAAGCAGTTACTGTGGCGGTGAAGATGTTGAAAGGTAAAAAGATTGGAGGGGGTTGGAGATTTGGGGGGCGGGATCGAGGTGGTAATTTTTATCAAGAATGTTTCTTTTGTTGCCTCTGAACTCAATAATTGTAGAGGGTCAGGGTTCACATAGTTGACCTCAGCCTTCAGCAGTTTTCAGTATAAATCAGTGCTTTTGACAGCCTATTTATCTTTAGCAATTTGTATTTACAAGCAAATCAATGTATTGTTAGAAATTGTTTGGTTCTTGTCTCTGATACAAGTAAATCCACAGTTGGTATATATTTAGGTAGGTGATCACAATTTTCCATTTCTGGATATATACGTATTACTAATTTAGTTATAAGGTTAGTTTTTAGAGAAGGCTTAGCTGTTAATGTGCTTGAAAGTCCAGAGCAGCTTATATAATTTCAAGGCAGTTTTCCCATATTCTTTGGCTCCTCTTAAAATGTTACAGAAGGGAGTTGGTGGGCCAGACTGTATCTGGAGAGTGGAACAGCTGCTTAATGGGTCACGTGATTTTTGTCACATGACACAAATCCTAAAAACCCACGTGTATTTCTAAACGTGCAAGACGTAGACGGCATCACACTGCCTGATAAATGTCTAATGGGCTCCACTGAAGTTCTTCCAGTTGCTGACTGTATGTGGCAGTCCAGAAAACATGAGCTGAACTTGTTGTGACTTGTGTAGATGATGCTACAGAAAAAGATCTGTCTGACCTGGTGTCAGAAATGGAGATGATGAAGATGATCGGGAAGCACAAAAATATCATCAATCTTCTTGGAGCCTGCACACAGGATGGTGAGTACATAACAGAAAGCTGCCCAGCATGCTCACTCAAACAGGCCTTGAAAAAAAATCTCATTTATTATCATTTTTTCAAGAATTCTTTCTTCAGGAAACAGACATGCTGTGATGGGACTTTTAAATATTTCTTCAGCTTAGCAGCAATATTTCCCCCTTCTGTATCTGATTATAAAGATGCTGTGAAGCTTTTTATGTTAAGAGGGACTGCATTGTGTGAAAGCTTTTTTAACTTATTTTGGCTTTTCTAGTAGTTTTGCACACCTGTCAATCCTAAGAAACGTGTCCCTTTTAAACTTGGAATGGCTAGCTTAGCTTTATGATACGTGTGTCCAATCACTCTGTTAATTGAAGCTAATTATGAGCTATGAGGCTGATCAGAACTGTGACAGGAAAATTAACATCTTTGGAAAAGCAGTTACACCTTTTCTGGGGGGTTATGTTGTTTTTGCAGTGAAAATATTTTAGGTCAGAAGTCGGAGTGGTCTGGAGAGAATAATCTTTGAGCTGTGATTTAGGTGCTTCGAAATTCTTATCCAGGGCCTCTCCGACTGATTTGCTCTGTACTGGGTCAAGTTAATTACTGCTGTCATTGCCTCAATTCCTCATCTTTAATTTAACTCCTGATTTAATTTTAGAATGTACTAATTTAACAGGGCTCTTGTGAGGATTAGATAATGAATGCTTGTACAGCACTACAGGAATGAAAAGCACAATAAAAGACCTTGTATTTCACTCTTAATCATGGGTTGGCAACCTGCGACCCACAGACCAGATCAAGCCGACCAAGGATGGTGTGCAGGCTGAGCAGCTGGGATCTCGGTGGCAATTCTGGGGGAAGCAGAGCAGTCGTGTTTCTCTGCCCCAAACAGATTTTCTGCAGCACTGCCCCAGCCTTCCCTGCCCTCTCTTGTGCCCCGTTACTGCAGCTGTTGCTTCTCTTGCTGCTAAATTTGTCACTGGTTGGAATTGGTGGCTACTGGAATCAGTGGTGTAGACTAAGAGTCAGCAGCAACTGCAGTAGGACACAAGAGAGAGAGCAACCCTTGGCCTAGAGCAGGGAGGACTGGGGTGGCATCAGACAGCTCAGAGCAGGGGTAGTGGCAAGCAGTGGCACAGCTTCACACCTTGCTGCTTTATTTTGCCTTGCCACAGACACCTGGTCTAAATAATTATTTTCTTTTGCATGGGTTTGAATTCTCATCCCATATGTTCTCTTTATCTAAAGGTCCATTGTATGTGATAGTAGAATATGCTTCTAAAGGGAATCTGCGTGAATACCTGCGAGCACGGAGACCTCCTGGAATGGAATATTCGTTCGATATTAACAGGGTGCCAGAGGAACAGATGACATTCAAAGACTTAGTATCATGCACGTACCAGTTGGCAAGAGGCATGGAATACTTGGCTTCACAGAAAGTAGGTCTAGCTGGGCAAATACTCTGTAAAATACTTTGCTTACTTTAAAATAAGTTGCTTCACTTTTGTTCTCCCCTGTTTGTCTTGGAGAATGTATTTACCAATAGAAAGGCCCCAATCCAGCGAGGTCCTTAACTGTGCACTTGATAGGCTTTATTGGTCTCAGGGGCACCACTTGCGTTCAAAGTTTAAATTAGGTTCAAGTATCTTGCAAAGCAAGGGCCGAGACCAGATAATTTAAAGTAAATATTGGAGTGTATTTGCCTAAAATGAACTTTGAATTCATAAGCACAGGTACTTGCTAGGTAAGCACTACGTTCCCTCCATTTGGGAATAACGCTACACCAGGTGTCCTATGTTTCCAATCAAAGCTATAAACCCAGCTCAAATATTGAATATGCAATATAAATGGAGTCTGTTATCAAAATTATTTGCCTAATGATAACAAATGGTATTAAAACATTGTAAAGTGTTTGTGGGGAATTTGTGAAGGGAGGAAACAGCAAAAGCAAATTGAATAAATTATTTGTTGAAAATGATGCGCTCAACTACCTGAAACCAGTACTTGTAAGAAAAACAAACTTATTTACTCTACCCTAGAGACCTATTTCTGGTAAAACCTTCTATAACTAGGGCCTTGGATTAAATTAGAATTAGGAAACCCGTAAATGGTACCATATAACCAGCTCTGTAAACAGACCATATTGCCAAGTTAATGAAAGATATTCATTAAAGTGGATTGTGTTTGAGACTTGTGGTGAGATTCTCAGAGGCAGTGAGCATTTCCTGCAAGGTGCTGAGCAGATTATGGGCCCCTTGTTAGTTCACTGGGCTAGGGCTGTTTTGCAACCACCAAGAATAATGAAGCATCCAATCCTGCTGCACACAGACCTATTCAGTTTAATTACGTGTGTGTATATTCCAGTACAAATCTGATAGCAGGTGAAGTGTCCAAATGTGTTTTTACCTGTGTATTTTAGAAAGGATAAAAGCCAAATTACAACAAGAGAAACTGGAAAGGAAGCAGGTCACCCGTGTGAAACTGACTGGCTAATGGATTAAGTGTGAATGTAGGATTAGGCAATGTACCCTAGGGCACCCATCTTGAAGAAACACTTTACTAAGGATGAGCTGTGATCTTGTAGTACAGGGTGTCCAGCCAAAAAAGCAGGCAATCACTATGAAAGGATAATTAAAAAAGAATAAAAAATCCAAGCATCTGGACTGGCACATTTCTGTGAACATGGGTGTGCCCCAGGAGCACAGACACTGGAATGCTCTTATAGCTTATTGCCAAAAAAGCATGCATCCATAGGAAAGGAATGGCATCCTTCAGCCAGTCCCCATCCAGGAGGAGCTGATCAGTGCAGTGCAGAACTGACAGAAGGTAAAGCATTACACAAGGTTGAGAGCAGAGAGAAAACAAAGGGAGTATATACTAGGACTATGCATTCCGGTTTTTCAAATATCTCACTATTTACATTTGTATTTCACTAGCTCTTTCCCCCTCAGGGAGCCATTTGTTGAGCTGAAATAATAAAAGCTGATCTTCTCACGGTATTTCCACCATCCAGGAACTAAAACACCGTGAGAAGACCAGCTCTCTTGTTGTTTCAACCCAATGAATGGCTCGCCGAGGCATTAAAAAAAATAGCATGAAAAATGTAAATGCAAATACAAGGAACTTCTGGTCAACACCCATAGTACGCAGGCTTTATGAGTTAAATTTTCAAAAGTACCAAAGAGACGTGAGAGCACAAGTCTGGTTTTTCAGAAGGGTCTTGGAAGTCAAAGGCTCACTGACTTCGAGGCTTCTATGTGGCTTTGGTACTTTTGCAAATGGGATATAGAAACAGACATTTCTGAAGATGTTTTTTCAGTTCCTTTGAATACTGTCTCTTCTAATTCCTAAAGCACACTGCTGAAAGTGTGTCGTTTTACCAAGCATAGTTTGAGAATCACTTGGATCAACTCATTAAGGACACAGAGTACATTAGTAATGGAGAGGACTGATCAGATTTTGCTCTCAGCGGTAGCAGCGTTTGGTGGAATTTTTCACTTTGCAACGTTGATGAGAAAACAAAGATGATCCGAATTTCTGTTAGCAATAGGTGCTGGAGCTCCTGTGAGCAGAGGTCCCTGATCTGAGATTACCTTAGATCAATGATTTTCAACCAGGGTGCATCAGCTTGGGGGTGTCCTGAGGTCCTTTCACGGGTGCCATGCACTGTTGGCACTGTTAGGTGTACAAACATTATTCACAAGATTAAACCCATACATTTAAAGTGGAAACCCGTAGTGCTAAAGACATTCTGCTGTGTTGTGGTCTTTCAGATTTCTTTGCAACAGAAAACTTTCTCTCTTTTTTTTCTGCATTCCAAAAATGAGTGAGAACCTAAGAGCTAGGGGTGCCTTGAGTCACATGAGGAGGAGCCTAACATCTAAACAGATTGAAAACCACTAGATTGTGCAGGAATGGTGGGCAGAGAACCTTCCACTGAGCTAGAAACCTCTTAGGAGTAGTCAGGTGCAAAACCTGATTTCCAGACAGCCTCTTCTGAAGGTTGGTTTTATGTATCCACAAATGCAATTAGTGAGGTCACCTATGCTAACATAGGGAAGCGCAGAAGATAGGCAGGCCTACCTTTACCTATAGAGGGTAAGAAATCACAGGGAACTCCCAAGCTATGCTATAGCATATAAGATCCAGCTGATATGGTAGAATTCAGCTAATGGTTTTGTCTTCTGTGCCAGGAGGTTGCATATGCCAGCATCAAAAGCAGTCACAGAAGAATAATCCAAAATAATAGAAAAAGGGTTAAGATATCTAGCTCCAGCAGAAGTAGGACATGCTGGGGAGAAATGCAAGCGGAATGTTTCTTAACAGGTCTTTGATGTCACCTTGTATTACTCATGATACAGCTGCTTTAACCGAGTAGGGGTAACCATAGCAGCCAAAATTTCCTCTCCAGGCTTGGAAAAGATCAATTGCAAATTTTCAGGAGTGCCGATGTGAAGAAGAACACAACTGAGATTGGGAGAATTTTGCAGGGGGCTTCTAAAAACCAAACGGACTGCAGCAGATCGTATCCACCATTTTAGACTGGTGGACAAAATAAGGACACACCGTAAATACATGTTTACTTTCTAGACCAGTGGTTTTCAACCTCTTTTCATTTGCAGACCCCCTACACAATTTTGAATGGAGGTGCAGATCCCTTTGAATTTTTTGTGTGGGTGATCACACATTTTTGATTGATCGTAGTCGTCTTTCGCAGACCACTTAGACATAGTCTGTGGACTCCACGGGGTCCGTGAACTGCTCTAAACTACTGCTCTAGGCCCACAGAGCATGTCACAATCAGTTCTTTACCAGATTATATTGTTTTTATTCCAAACTCTTAGGTTCAAGTGGTTGCATTGATCTAGGCTGTCAGTTTGGAGCCACATAAATCCAATATAATTTGAGGAATCCATAGTAATAAAACACTCAGTAACAAGATTTATAATAAAAATCTGGAAAACCTGTATTGGAGCAGCCTAGACTGGGGATAGTGAAGCAGCTTTGGTTCAGTTTGGCTAAGCAGTCAAGCCTCCCTTTGCTGCAAAGCTGAGCTGTAAATTTCCTAAAGACGGGCTTTTCTGAGCAATTTCTAGGTTTTAGAGCTGCTCTGAAGATCAATTCTAAAAACTGGAAACGCTGAAAAAAATAGTTATTACAATCATCCCCCCTGTGCCCTTTGCTTGATCATGTTATCATAATTATATGACTTTCTCACCCTTTAAACTGTAGAAGAAATTAGAAATGTCACCACTTGTTAGAAATAATTTCACTTTTTAAAACTATGTATCTTCTGTTCAGTAATTTTCCCCTCCTCCTTTTTCAGTGCATTCATCGGGATTTAGCAGCAAGAAATGTTTTGGTAACTGAAAACAATGTAATGAAAATAGCAGACTTTGGCTTGGCCAGAGACATCAACAATATAGATTATTACAAAAAGACTACTAATGTAAGTGGATGGTTTTCTTATCGTTGGAACCAAGCGTTTCGTTAAATAATTCATTTGAAGTACTGTGATTCTAATCCTAATGGACTTCTTGTACAGCAGCCTAACTTTTAATCACAGAGAAGAAAATAGTAATCAAGGGCATAAGTGTCTCTGTCCCCTCTTATTGAGCAACGAAGGTTATCTTTCTACATAACCTGAGAGAAGATATGTATTATGCAATTCTCTATAAGTGATAAAACGAAGTATTACTTTTCACTGGGCTTGAGACACAGCCCATTGAAATGGATGGCAAGATTCCTATTGATTTCAATACACTTTGCATCAGGCACAAGGTCTCTGAAAACGTGTAGTAAACAGTACAATGTTTCCTTTATAGTGCCTGGCTACTGCATGTTGCTGTATATATTTCTGTCTGGACTTGTATTGCAGGCAGACTTGTAAACATAGTATGGCAATGGCAGCAAAGTGGGGGTTGAAAAGCTGTTAAAACGGTGTTCATTTTCCACATTGCTGTTGCTGCTGTCTGACCTTCAGCAAAGCAGATAGGTTCCTAATGTCCAAAAAGACCATTATTTGAGCTAATTAATATGAGACACCTTGTACCTGTTTTTTCAGAAGTCCTGAGTAACCACAATTTCATTTGAAGTGCTTTCAAAATTCCTGATGCAATTGGCTGCATCTCTGCAGAGAATTGGTTATGAAGATGTATTCCTTTAAATTGTTAATTGGTGAAAATAACTTGCACATGTACACTCACAGGGACACCAGGCTTTCTACAGGCACTCCCATACCAGTTGTGGTGAAGGAAGTGAAACATCTTCTCAATTCCAGATCACAAATCCCAGATCGCATGCAGATTTGTCGCTGGAAATGCAAAGGCTACAGGCCTATGTAGTTCCTCTGCCCACCATGCAGGGATTTGGCCTATGGGGAGCAAGTAAATCCAACAGCCCTGACCTCGCTTGTTCAACTTCTCTCTCCACTGGCCTGTTTGTTAAAGATTTATTAACATACATCTGTTTATGGAGGACCCATGTGGAATGACCTTGTTCACATTAGACTACTGACCCCTCTCCTCCTCCTGCTCCCATCAGTGGACAATGTGGGAGTTAAATGGGCATGAACTTACATGCCACTTATTTGATCCCAGGATGCTAGAGAGAGGAGAGTCTTGTGTTTTCTGATATCTGATAGCACAGAGGTAAACTGTGAGCTGGTGGGGGTGGTGGTTTCAGCAGACCGTTGACCTCTAGTTATTTATGTTTAAGAATAAATTAATATTTTTACAAATCCATCATGGAAACTGCCTTGTAAATTGCTACAGTTTTAATGTACTGATTCTTATTTTTCCCCTTTTCTACTGCCAGGGCCGGCTGCCTGTGAAGTGGATGGCTCCAGAAGCCCTGTTCGATAGAGTTTACACACATCAAAGTGATGTGTGAGTAACTTCATTTAATCATTTAACCTTTCTACTTCAGCCATTTTTTTTTTTAAGGGACAGCTTTGAAAATCTTCATGTATATTTTCTTCCTGCTTTTTTTTAACCTTAAACTGTCTGTGTTTACTGTCTGTGTTTCACATGTTCATAAAAGAGCGGGAGTCACCCTTAGAAAGTGAGGATTTTATGGTAGACTGCTAGCCAATGCTCTGTTACTAATCTGCCTGGCTTCAAAGCGCTCGAAAAGTGGAAAACGCTAACCTCCTTCCGCCAATGTGGAAGTTTCCCCTTCTTGAACTTATTTACAGATAGGCAGCTACAAAGCACCTATCTAATTTGCTCGAACTTCCTTCAATTTTTTTAATGGTCCTGAATCTTTTTTGTTCAAAATTTTTGTTAAAAATAGGCAAGATATATATAGAACACAATGCTTTCACTTAAAACATTTGTTTTAGTTTTAGAAGTATTGCTTTTGTCATGTAGAATCCTTGCAGTAGAAAGAACTTTTAAAGCTAGAACAACCCTTTTAAGTGTGCGTTCTGAAGCTAGCTGACATGACCTCTTGAGGTTTATTCCACTTATCAGTATTTTTATTTTCTGTCTAATATTCACATCCCTTATGCTGGGATTGATTTTTTTTTTTTTTTTTAAGACCAGAGTTCCCATGCTTGGGCTATCAGAAAAAAACATTTTTTCCTGTCATTTTTGAAGCTCAGAACTGATTTACAATATTCCTAAATGCTGAGTTAAGAAGAGCTTTATTGAGTACTGATGGAAATTTCTTTTTTTTTTTTTATGGCGATACCATGGAGGACTGGACTGTAACAAAAGTATGAAAAGTAGGAAAGGTTTTGCATGTTAATATAAGGTTAAAAAAGGAGGATATGGAGGTACAAAGAGCTGGATCAGAATGCTTGAAGTTTTGTGCCTTCATATCTACTTGGATTTACAGGACTGCAAGAACCATGTGAAATACATGAGGAGCTTCAGGATTAAAGCAAATGGATAAGATTTTTTTCAGTGTAACAAATGACTGTCTCAATTTTGAAGCATCTGATTTGCCAAACTGAACCTACTTGCTTTTCCACACAAGGTTCCTTAAGAGCAAAACTTTCCTGTGAAATATTTTGCTTTTTGACAAATCTACTTTTTCTGAAATGTTTCATTGAAAAATTTTGGAGCTTCTTTACTGGATGCATGTGTCAGAAATAATTTTGGCAAAGGATATAATTCCTCACAAATGGCATGGAAACTTGACCACTTGGGAGCTTGGAGAACACCAGACAAAGACCAGGAAGGCATTTAGGAAAGTGCTTATGTTGGTCCCTTTTCAATAAAGTCTGGTTAACTTTAAGCACATGTTTTTTCCTGTTGAAATCAGATGTGTAAAGTTAGGCTCTTGCTTAACTTTCATCTTTTTCTGAAGAGTGATAGGCTGCTTAGCTGGGTCTACCTGTTTCCCATGCTCATTATTGCTACACCGAGGTACCCCAGTGATATTAATGGATACAAGGAAAGATCTCAGCGTGAATCAGACTGGCAGAGCTGGGTCCTTAACTAGCAATGCTCTAGGAAGTTCCAAACATGACTAGGGTTTTCTTAAGAGGAATTTAATAATGTGCTCTTCCCTTTTTATCCCATAGTTGGTCATTTGGTGTGCTAATGTGGGAGATCTTCACTTTAGGAGGGTCACCTTATCCAGGAATTCCAGTGGAGGAACTTTTTAAGCTGCTTAAAGAAGGACATAGAATGGATAAGCCTGCCAACTGCACCAATGAACTGTAAGAACCATTATTCACTGTAAGCGGGTAGAACAGTACCCATACAATGCACTGTCACACAGTGAATGCTGATGTATTGTTCTCTCTCTCTCTCTCTCATATTATAACAATATAATTATAAAGTTATTATATTATATGTAGATATAATACACACACACAGATAGATATAGATATCTATCTATAATGTTTAGATAAAGAATATCTATCTGTGTGTGTGTGTGTGTGTGTGTGTGTGTGTGTGTGTGTATGTATATATTAGGGGTGTGCAAAGTGTTTCGTAGTTTCATAATAGTTAGGGGTCAGAAGGGACTTGATCATCTAGATCAAGATCATCATAGATCATCTAGTCTAACCCCCTGTCACTGGTTGGAGCACATGCTGGGATCACACGACCCCAGACAGGTGTTCATCCAACCTCTTAAGTGGGCAGTATTCAATTCGTATTCGGCCTGATTCGGAGGACAACAATTTGACTCATTGATTCGGATCACTGTTCTGATTCAGTTCGGCCGAATCTGAAGATTTGATTCTGATTTGAAGAATCAGCGATTCAGTCATAGGCACAGCTTTAAAGTGATTCTCAACCCAGGTGCCACAAGATCCTTTGAAGGATCTCACAAGGTGTGAGGATATAAACAGATTAAGCGCAGTCTCAGGCTTATCACTGCCTGGCCATTCTCTGCTCCCATTGCCCAGCCCCACTGTAAGGATGTAAACTTTGTATTAAATAAGTTTTGGAAATGAAGTGCCACTCAGTTCACAGAAAATTATGGAGGAATTCCTTGAGTTTAAAGAGGAGCACTTTCAGTCCGAAAAGGTTGAGAACTACTGCTTTAGGAAGTCAGAGGTTTGGGGCAGTAGCCAGCACAGACTCTAAGCCAGGGGCAGGCAATTATTTTGGGCAGAGGGCCGCTTACTGAGTTTTGGCAAGCCATTGAGGGCTGCATGACAGGCAGCCAGGGGCAGATAAATATTAATTTTCTAAATTTTTTAGGGGCCCCATGGGCCGGATAGAATGGCTTGTCGGGCGCATTTTGCCCACCCCTGCTCTAAGCTACCGCTCTGGCCCCCAGAATATTTTGCTTGGGTTAAAAATATTGGATTGCAGAGTTAATGCTACATGCCTCTGCTACAGAATTTTGAATCTACAGTCACCGGTAAAGTCAGTCCTATAATGATCTATTTCTCTGTATGTGTGTGTTCTTTTATCTATAGTATATTGCACTCTTTTTCCAGATCTGTTACAGTGCAGTATAAAGTGCTTGGCCATTTGTTCAACATAGTTCTATGTTATCTATAAATAGTCAATGGAGGGCAGGGGCGTGAAAGCGATACCATATTTATCAAAGAATCTCTCATAGCCCAAATCCATAAATGTTGTGTTTATATATGACTTTCTGCTTGCATCATTTTGTGTTCAGATCGATAAATTTGCCACCTTTACTCTCTCCTGGCTAATCCCTGCAGGTGGAACATAATAAAAGGTATTACAATGAACTTTTAGTAGAGAAGAACAAGAGTTACCTTGCATGAAGACCAAGGAGCCAAACTTGGCAAAACACTTTTGTGTTTAGGTGCATTATTGAATCAGAATCCAAATACTGTGATGTAGGTTCTTGATTTTTACTGTTGCTTGTGGTAGTGCAAAAAAGAAAAAGAAAGAAATATCATACAGTTGCTGAATCTTAAGTATTGTACAGCGCCTAGCACATTTAGGTTCTGTTCCATGACTAGGGCTCTTAGGCACTACTAGAACACACGATCAGATGATTAATAATAGTTGTGAATGAAATGACGGTCTAACTAAGATGTATGAGGTGAATTAACTCAGTGAAATGCATATTTCTGCAGCTATATGATGATGAGAGATTGCTGGCATGCAGTACCTTCACAGAGACCCACTTTTAAGCAGTTGGTAGAAGACTTGGATCGAATTCTCACTCTCACAACTAATGAGGTGTGTAAATTATTCACTCTTAAGCAGCAGATCAGAGCATATAGTTTATGAGATAGATGTAACTTATTAAATATGAAACTCAGTTCCCGTTATCTTATAATTCTATTTGTCACTTTTCCTCTGGGGTCACACACAGATAAATTATGTATCCTAATGAAACGGTGGTTTTTCTGCCTGTACGCACTGATTTATGTAAGAGAACAGAGACCTATATTAAAGCATGTTCATTTACTCATCTATGCATCTCATAAGATTTTCAGCATATCAGCATCCAGGAGATGTCAGGGGTAGGTGGGAGGGTGAATATTTATATTTCAACATTAGTTTCATGTTGGGGAGCAACGCAAAGTTCATGGTATGTTGGATTTATTATCTTAATTTGATTTTAAGCCATAGTAACTAAGACAGAAAAGAAAGCAGAGCAAATGACGAACTCTAAATTATCTGTCTGGGGGTGAATTAGGCTAACTGAAATATTTGTCTGTGAGAGAACAAAATCCCAGAGGGTTATTACCATCCACTTACTAAGACACCTTCTACCCCCATTCCAAAAATGGTGTATGACTTTTTTAAAAATCATAATGATTTTATATTTTAAAGGCCTGAAAACCTATTCCTTGTATCAAGCCATAGATTCATTCATGTATATGTAAAATTCTCTTATTGTTTAAGCATAGCTACTTCTAAGGATAATCACAGCAGTCACAACATTACTAGCACAGATTTTTAAGAGCAAAAGAAAAAGACTGAAGTAGAGCAAACTCTTTTTTGGGCTGTAACATTTTTCAGTGAAAAAATGCAGGTTCGGCAACACAAACTGCTTTGTGAATCTGTGTCAGTTTTGTCAAATTGTTCATGGGGGCGCTACAAAATTGTTTTGACATTTATTTTTGAAAATAAAAGATTTTGGCGTTTTATATTGAAAATTACTTTTGCTTTAGAAATTTCCCTCTCTGTTGCACTTTTTCTTGGGACTCTCATTCACGTAGATGAAGTCTCTTTCTGCATGATTTATATAAGAATTCAGAAGCGCCATATCTGAGGTGATCTAGCGTCTACCTGAGACTATTTAAATGTTGGGTCTTTGACTAAGTACTAAAATGCACAGAGCAGGATTCTGTATTAACCAAAGGGATAGCGCACGGGTGACTGGTGCCTCCGAAGTCTGGGGGGGCCCTAGATCACTGATGTGGGGGGTCTCCCAGCAGCCCGTTGCTGACTGGGGGAGCAGCTGATCACTGAGCCAGCAGGGAAACCAGAAGTGCATTTCCGGCAGCGCTTCCAGTTTTGTGGCTGGCGCTTCCGGGGGTGCATGGGTGATCTCAGGGGGTACATGTGCACCCCCTACGCATCGCCAACGGGATAGAGGATCTTTACACTTCCTTCTCCTCCAAATTCTGCATTGCTTCAGGAGTTTAATAGGCCTTCAGTGTAACTTTTAACAAGTTTTCAGGATTATCTTAGTTACCGAGCTCCCCATGGAGTACGGTGCTCAGGGGTGGATCCAGAAGGGGTGTGGCAATACAGTTATTCCTCTCCCCCTTTAGCTGTCACACGTGAGCACTCAGTATTGTGGGGGTCTGCTCAGAGCCCCTGTTTATGCGTGGCTCCAGAGACTGGGGGTAACTACTGCCCCCATTGCTTGTCTCCTTTTTCCCTGCTGCTTAATTTAGCAGAGAGGGAGATGCCATAGGGTCCATCCCCTGGGCTCTGGAGCCACATAAAAGCAGAGGCTCCAAACAGACTCTGCCCTGATCAGCTGCTTAGCTCAGAGTGTGGGCAGGAGCCCATGCTGAGTAGGCAGTGAGGGAAGTGCTTGCTGCATATGCATGGCACAGCCAAAGCTGGGGAGGGTGAGGGCACCTACACGTCACTTGGCACATCCGGGATCTGCTGCTGACATTGTTTCCCACAGTGCAGTATGTCAGGCTCCTCTCACCACTACCACAATCCTTCCACGCAGTCTTTTGCAAAGGAGGTCCTTGGGAGGCAGCCTCATAACTATGTTTTACCCTGCTGCACCGGGAATACTCCTTGCAGGGAGTGCTTTTATTCCCCTCTGGTCCTTTATGGCATAAGGAAGATGGAATCTTGTCTCAGATGTTTCACTTATACCTTTAGATCTGCCAAACTATATGTTAGAAAATCTCAAGATAATGATCACTCTTGAGCAGGGGTGGGCAATTATTTGGGCTGGAGGGTCACTTGAGAAGTTTTAGTGAGCTGTTGAGGGCCAGTGGGAGGAGTGGGGGTGCTGATCCCTGTCATGGCTGTTTACACCACCAATTGATCCTTTCCAGCTCTGGCCTTGTCTGCCCCACACCCACTGCCAGAGATGCTGGGTGGAGCAGACAGATGGGTCTCCAAGGAGACCAGCCCAGGCCCACCGCAGGCAGGTTGTGCTCAGTTGGGCAGATGGGATGGGGCCGCAGGCAGGCATGGAGCAGCATCTGGGAGTGGGACAGGCAGGCAAGGCCAGGGCTACAATGGTGGTGACAGCATGGGGCCAGAGCCACGATCCACTCCCCCACATGTCCAGAACTGGTGCCCATCACAGGCGCATGCAGGGAATGGGGCCAGAGCCACGATCTCCTCCCCACACGTCCAGAACCAGCGCCCATTGCAGGCACATGCAGATAACGGATGGCAGCTGTGCCCCAGGCCCCAGCCCCGTGTTGTCCTTGCTGAACTGCCCTGCCTGCCCATCCTGCTCATCCCATCCACCTGGCTGAGCACACCCTACCCACGATAGTCCTGGGCCATTCTCCATGGAGACCCCTCCCACTCCGTCTGGCATCCCCTGCGGTAGGTATGGGGCAGACAGGCTGAAGTGCCAGGGCAGTGGAGACACTGACAGCCACAGCCGGAAGGAGCTGCCACCATAGAGGCTGCCAGGAAGCTGAGTCTGGCCATGGTGCTGCCCGCAGCCTGCCACTGTGCCACCCATCCCCATGGGCTACAGTTCCCAGCATGCCCGAGAGCCACGTGTGGGGATAGGACAGACTGTGCTCCATGCCAGATGGCATCTCCATACCCAGGGGCAGTGGGATTGGCCACACACACTCAAACCCAGGCTGCCCCCAGCACCTGGGCATGGTGGGGGTAAGGGACCCACCATGGGCCACTTGGAAGGCCACATTTGGCCTGCGGTCTGCATTTTGCCTATCTCTGCTCTTGTGGGTTCCAGCTGTTCCTGCACCATTTGCAGGAGAAATGACCTGACCATTCTCAACCCTTAGAGCCATTTCCCTAACGTAACCATATGAATCAAAAGCTTCCACAGACAGTCATACAGGTTACCTAAAAAAACCCAAACCCTGCCTGTAAGGTATGGAGTAGCCTTGGCTCCAAACTGGTGAGGTATTTTGCTATCCACTGCATTTGAAAAATATTTTAAAGCCTTTCTTGTTGCCCATACTTAAAATGATGAGCATAAAGTCTTGGTATTTTAAGATATAATTATGATGATTGCATTTCTGATTTTAAAATATTTTAATCAAGTCATTAAAAAAAAAAATTAAGCGCTATAACATACTGACTGAGGCAGAAGACATGTCTCATCAGTATGACCATAACTTGTGGTTTAGCAAAGAAGCACTTGCATTTAAATGAATACAGCTGCCTGTTAGAAGTTGAAAGAGAGAGAACATTTCAAGAGGGAAATGGCTTTATTCTCCTGCCAAAACTCTTGTTTTTAGCAAAAGTCCCTCAACCCAAAACTTGGATTAAACATATATTATTTCCTTTTTTAATGCTGGTTTGGTCATTGCTACTCTAGGATGTGTACAGGCACACAAAATAGCAAAAATTATAGAGAAACCCAGGTCCAGTAAGTTGTGTTCTTGATTTTTCATTTTAGTTCTTTTGGTAAGCATGTCACTGCATATTTAAATATAAATTTAATATCAGATTATATAAAACAGATACACAAATTGACCAAAGGAATATAACATTGGAAGCATCTTTTCTTCTCCAAATCATTACCATGTGCTAGAGAAAAATGGTTCTATTTAGTATAAAATTTCATTTTTATCATTGTAAGCGAAAATTCCTCGTTTGATGTGGTGAGCATGCTTATTTCCACTGATGTGCCTAATGCTGATGTTGGAATTGACATTTCTTCTTTCCTTTTTTTTTTTCTCTCTCCACATTGCCCCCCACCCCCAAGTTTCCCTAATGATCTCTGGTTTTATCAGCGATAAAGAAAATGGTCACTTTTGAAGACCTTTTTTTTTGGTCCATGAAACAGACTGATTGACCAATAACACATTAACCTTTATGCCATATATTTAAGAAATTCTTTCTTTCTTCCATTCCAGGAATACTTGGATCTCAGTGGACCCCTTGAACAGTATTCACCCAGTTACCCTGACACTAGGAGTTCATGTTCCTCAGGTGATGACTCTGTTTTTTCTCCTGATCCAATGCCTTATGAACCTTGTCTACCTAAGTACCAACATATAAATGGCAGTGTTAAAACATGAAAAGAAACTATTTTTATTCCATAGAGGAACAGAGAGACAAGAACGCTGACCTACCTACCACAAGAAGAAAAAGATCTTTTCTCCAGGACCCCTATGTTTCTGTTTGTACATATGATATATATAAGGGAAAAAAATACTTGGAGGAAAATAGTCAGAACTTATGTAAAGAATTATATAATTTGGAACTCTAAAATATTCTGGAAGAAGAAGAATGTTTATGGGCCATGTATAGATTCGCTTAACTGCATCAATTTTCTGGCTTGTTTTAAGCCATAATAGACTTTATTTGTACAATGGACCAGTTGGACTTAAGGCAAGCTCTGGGTCTGCCTTTCTTGTTTATTTTTGTAAAATTTGGAGAAAATATATGTTGGCACCCACTTATAGAGCACAAATGCAGTATATAGGTGCTGGATGTATGTAAATATATTCAAAATATGTATAAATATATATATATTATATTTACAATGAATTATTTTTTGTATTGATTTAAAAATGGATGCCAATCCACCTAGCAAATTAGTCTCTTTTTTAACAGCTATTTGCTAAATGCTGTTCTTACACCGAATTTCTTAATTTTCACCGTCCAAAGGTGGAAAATACTTTGCTTTCAGGGAAAATGGTATATCGTTAATTTATTAACTAATTGGTAATGTACAAAACAATTAATCGTTTATAGGATTGTTGTTGTTTTTGTAATTTAAATGGCATTTCTATGCAGGCAGCACAGAGAACTAGTAGATATATTGCTCAGACTTTACTAGTTGTCAGATCTTTTAAAAAAAAAGAAATATTTACAGTATATAACTAATTTTGGGAATTAAACTTTTGATTTCTTTGCATTTTAAACTTCAGTGTCAGATGATTGTTCTTCTCAAAACCAAATCCTTTAACAAGAAGGTATCTTATTTTCTCTATCTTTGATAAGTAGGTATCACTAAAGTAATAAAGTTTAATAGAACTTCCAAGGCCAAAATAGCACCATTACTCTTTGAAAAAAGGAGTGCTTTTAATGAGTTTCTAAAGTAAAGAAAGACATTAAGTTGTCTATAACCATAGCAGAAAGTACTGCTTTAAAAGGAGCTGAGCTTCTACACTTGAGTTGCACATACATCAAATTAACTGGTATTGTCTTAATTGATTTTGATAATAGATTCCAGATCTTTTGGCCTAATAGCATCTTTTCAGGATGGTCCTGTATTGTAACTTATGTTTAAAGAGAAAAGTTATAGTGACAATTTGCCATTGGAATATTACCATCTTTTTAAGGGATTAGTTCATGCTGGCTCCAGAATATATTTCGGAATCATTCCATAATGTCAGGCATGGAGCTGGTGTCAAACAAAATGTTGCTGCATTTTTTCAATTGTATTTAAAATAAAGTATTGTGTTTTTACTTTCAAAACACCCACTCACACTGGTATAGCCATGCGATATGAATGCAAATTACACTGCTTTACGTATTAAAATTGGGGGGGGGGAAGTATTAAAATCTGTTAACTTTTGTACTGACAATAAAATGTTTCTACAGATATTAATGTTAACATTACAAAATAAATGTCATGCAACTTATTTATTTTTATTTTTTAATTTTTTATGTTTTACCAATATGTTTCTGTCCTTGAAGTGAGGGGATGCTTCATTCTGGCTTCATTGTATACTATTGACATGTTCAATCAGGAATGGGTTTTGGACCCAGTCTTGGAGTTGAGAGAAGATATGTATAGGTTGGGCTATTAGAGAATTGGGGCTTAAGGTTGAAAACCTTTTGAATATTTGAAAAGATCACAGATTAATATCAAGGGAAACTTGGTTTAAGGTATCCTCTGTTTTATGTCCCCACCAGGTTGTATATACTACTAGTAAGCTTTTCAGAAAAATGAAATTTTAAGAATTCATGCATTTTTTTCATTTCCTCATTAGGATAGTATTGATACTTTTTAATGGAAAACCAGAGAGAGAGCCTGAGCTATTGGGTTTAGGGCACTTACATGAAATGTAGAAACCTCCGGTTCACATTTATACTCCTTCACCCCTTATCTTGTGTCTGTGCCTGTGCCCTTGTCCTCTCTCTAACCCAGAAATTTCATTGCATATCTGGTGAAGATTTCTGACAAAAGTTTCTTCAAATTAATATACTGCCATCTAAACTATATCCAAGATTGTTCCCCAAAGTATTTTTTTGCTGGTGCTTTGTTCATTTTTGCATTAAATGCCCTAAGGTTTTAGATGTCTGTGACTTATCTGAGGAAACTCTGCAACAGTTGTGTACATCTCACTTTTGTTGATGTACAGTGCACCATTTTCCTTTCCCTAGTTGAATTCCATAACCGCTTTATACTTTGCCAAGTATTTCTTCTCAACCCCCTACTGATAATTTATGCACATGGATATTGTCACTTGTGGAGCAGAATGCAGCTACGTAGAAGTAAAGTACAACCCCAGAAAAGTGTTATTGAGTAAAATGGGTCATTGGAATCAGAGGTTATCCTGTTAAATTAAGCAACATTATAATAATATATTTTGAACATATTATAATATATTTTGAATACTTTCATCTGTTAATTGGCCAGGAGACTAAAGTACTTGCTTTTTAATCTTGCAAGAGATATTTGCAGCACCACAAATAGTCTTATCTGACCAATGGAACTGGGTTTAGTTAAATTGTTTTGTAGCATTTTGGTAGACAGTGATCCAATAACAGCTTGGGTAGGAAAGAAATGTGGTCTGTATACCCCACAACACTTCATCTAATTGTTCTTCGGATATCATTCATCCAAATATAGGTGTAGTCCAGCCCTGCTTAGCACATAAGAAAAAAAGGATTTAGGACACTAGGTACATGGCTGCTGTCCATAGTGAACCTTTCTGCCCTCATTTTTACTTCACAGCCTTTGTTAGGAAGCTCCACTTAGAATGGAAAACCCTTTCTTCCCTGTTTCCTTCTGTTCCCCAACTGGCTTTGACCAGTATAAAAGGTTTGCTTTTGTCAAAGCCTAATATGTGACGCACACAAGCTGAATACTTTTTTCAATTTCAAAATTATGTCTGAAGGTGAAAGGATGAAGGTTCAGAGTAGTTAGTTCATCCAAGAGAAGGTCCACTGTTGACTTGATCTTGGTATGCAAATAATGATATGGGGCTCTTTTAGCAGGAAAAGGTGCAACAGGATCCAGTAGGTAGACGTTGAACTAGATAAATAATTAGAACACCTTGCCCAGAGATGTGGTCAATTTAACATTACCTGATGCCTGTATCTTGCTAAAGAGTATCAAGAAGAAAATCAAAGATTATCCTCATCTCTTTGGGTGAATAATGAAGGCATACCAGAATCTGTAGACAAACGCACATAAGGGAATAAGTCATGTAATTACCACTGCAACCAGCCACCTTTTAATCTCTAGGCCAAATGACCAGTTCCTATTTATACATGATTCATTCAGATGTGGCCTTAAAAGAGTGTCTAGTGCATGGCCTGGACTCATGCTTCTGGAGCAATAACTGTTTTGTCACTGATATATGGTAAAGGATATACCATAGCTCAAACAAAAGCTATATGCTTGGGTGCATGTTACTGAATGTACTTATAATATAACGCAGGAGGTTAGACTTTTGTTATAATGGTTTCCTCTAACATTAAACTCTACAAAGAAACAATCCTTGTATTGCAAAACTTAGATGTCTTTCAGTTTCTTAGACAATTGCAGATAGATATCAGCTTTTCTTTATGAGCAGCTTTTCTTCATTACTGATATAAAGGGGAAAAATTTACTGAGATACAAATCTCTCAGGAGATTTGATTCTGTTTTGTTTTCTTTTTAAAATCATTTAAACACAGTTTTAAAAACAACCATGGTACAACTAAAAAATTAACTACTGCTTGTGGGAGAGGGGAAAATACTCAAGGTTTTGAACACAGAGACTTACTGTCAATCCACTTCAGCCCTTTCCTACAAGAAGAAAGTTATAGTCCCATACATAATAAATTTATAAATAAAATGTAATTTCTCCTTAAATGAATCAATGCCCATTAATATGGCAAGCAGGAACTGCTAACAGGTAAGAGGTGTTTTCCCTGCCTCTCCTATAAGTACAGCTCCATGCTATAAATTTTTATGAGTCATGCTGAAAATGACATTCATGTTAAGAAGTGAATAGATTTTGCTTGCAGAGGAACTTTTTCTTCCCCTTACATTTTAAAAATCTTGATGATTTTTTTTTTTCTTGATTTCCATAAAACTTCTAGCATGGTCTTACCTCACTTTTGGAGGAGAGCTCAGGAAAGCTGTGCTGTTCTTTGTTGTACTTATCAGGTGTAGTTCACTTTAGTGCTAAATTTAACAAAACAAAGTGGTCTGATCGCAGAAATGAAAATTGAAAATTAAGTACTACTTCAGGATATCAGTAAGTAAATGGAGAGGGTAAACCACTAGGAACAAGTGCAGTCAGAAATATTAAAATCACTGAGATCATATTTTATTACAATTTAACTGAAGAGAAAAAAGCCCCAAACCTTTGGTGATTTTTAATTTGGCAATACCAAGCCCTGTGAGCTGTTCACAAGGTGATGTGACTGTGATGTGAGCTCACAGATGTGACTGGACTACAGGTTAAAAAAAAAATTGGCCGCTTCCATCTTTTGATATGACTTTAAATATAGGGGCATGTATGAATGCAGGGATTTGACTCTGACCCTTTACTGCCACCACTTATTCCCCCACTCCCAAACTCCAGAGAACTTCAGACTGAAGATTAATTTTTTACAGCTGGCTGATAATTTTCCCATTGAACATTTTATCATTGAAAAATGCTGTCATGTGAAACTCAAAATCATCTGCAGGAGTGGGTCTACCTGGATGAAATTTCATTTTGAAAATACTGAAATGGAGCCTTTTGATCTTAGGACATTTTGTTTTGAAGTTTATTTTATGTACTATAAATAAAGTCAAAATTGGACTGAAACATGTGGGGCTTTTATCAAAGTTGCCCCAACATTTATCCAAATATTTGGTTTTATCAAAGTTGCCCCAACATTTATCCAAATATATTTTTTAAATTGTTTTGCTGAACATTTTTTTAAATGTTTTGGTTTTCATTTGACTCAGAAAGAGTAACATTGGAGTTTTCCATAGAATGGAAAGTCTAATTTCAACCGGATCTGCAAGTTTTTATATGTTACAGAGCTACTTAGTATTTTACAGAGCTACTTAATAAGTGTTGGACATACTGCATTTGTGGTAAGGTACCCAAAAGACATGTTATACCCTATAAGCTGAAGATAAGGATGTACTACTTCCATACTTCCATTGGATGCAAGACACCTTGAATGGTAGTTAAGGAGAGAGAAAGACCATAATCACAAGTCAACAATGTATTCTAAGGCCATATGATGCTGCCTCCTAAGATCCTAAATGAGGATCCTCCTGTTGCTGGAACAGTTTCAGGATGAGATCTAGTACTTTTCCTTCAAATACAATGACTTTGCACCAATTCTAATGTGGTCCTGCTCCTTGAAGTTCAGCCTCCAGTATGTTGTTGTTCTGAGGCAATAAAGAGAGAAGATAGAGGAATAGAAAGGGAGACAAAACTTCTGACACCCCTGCTGTCTTGAGACGTCTACAGCATATATCTGAGCAAGACGGAATGAAAATTTATGGAAAAATCTTGACTGCCAAACACTGCGTTTTAAAGACATTTCAGAAAGAAGGTAGCCAAGGTACAATATTTTGTCTAGACACGTTTCCCTGGCACAACTATAGTTTTTGAGGTCTATTCAGCAGCGTACAGTGGTTTCTTGTCCAAACCTATGTTGCCACAGCTCTACAAACTGAAAGTTTAATACTATATTGCTGAACTGAACACAATGATTGATCTGACTCGAATTAGTATCTGGCAGGTCATAATACTAAACTAAATGTGGTCCTGGAAGAAATGGGTGCAATGGCCTGAAAAAAATGGAGGTCCACTGTGGCTGAGTGGCAAATTATTTCATAAACCATAAAGTATCCATAACAGTTGAGGATATACTTACTACAGGAGACATTAATGCCAATATTTCTGAGCTAAGTTATAAACATTTGTGGCTGACATCTGCCCGGATGATCTGTGCTGGGGAAAGAATCAGCCTGCAATGGAAGAAGGGTGTGTGTTTTTCAGGTTCTTTGTTTGTTTGTTTCTTTGCCATTTTAAGATTGAGGATTGTATTATGAGTACCTTAGGTTAAGAATAGACATTGCCTTTGTCTCTGCATGAATTGTGCCTGTTTTTGTCCAGGAACAGAAATGTTCCGGGATTGGCGTGTACACACATCAAGTCTAATTGGGGTTTAGTGGGCAACTGAATGCACTGTCACTTTTCTGCCACTAACGTAATGATGTAATCCTGGAATAACCTTTCAGATGTACTTTGTGTGTCCTTCTTATCCTGTGTACCTTTTTAGGATTTATTTCAGGACAACAGACATGGATGTCTGAACAGTTGCATTTTGTCACATGGTAAAGTGGTTTATTCTGGGAGACGTGATGTCTGTTTGTAACTTTAGCTTTCCCTGACATTGAGTGAAA